GTGGACTCATCTGAGTACAGCACACATTTTCACTCTTTTTGACTATCTGAGATGAGCTCTGGCCCAGAGAACCTGGCAGCATTGCTGCATAGAATTGATGTATAGCTTTCTCCTAGAGTAATAGATATTCGAGTTGCATTTCTTGATGCAGCAGCAGACTGTGGTAAATGACAGTGGTTTTCTGAAGTACTCCTGAGCCCATGTGACTATATTTAACACCACAGCTTGACGGTTTCTTATGCAATGCCATCTGAGGGCTCAAAGATCAAGCACATTCAACTGAGGTTTCCAGCCTTGCCCTACATGTACTATGATTTCTCTGGATTCCCCGAATCTTTTCACAATATTATGTATGGTACTTGGTGAAAGACCTAAATTCTTTGCAATTTTGCATAATGAAATGTGATTTTTGATTTGTTTGACACTTCTCTCGTGAAATTTGGCACAACGTGATGAGCCATGATCCAGCTTTGTAAAATGCATTATTAGTATTTATAAAGCACATATTCTGCATGACCATATTCTATATCCCTAATCCTTAACAACTACCTTACTGATTATTAATAAGCAGCAAATTAGGAGTTTTTTTGAGGCGGATATTCTATAACCTTTTCACTTTTATTTTGCCTCTGTCCCAACTTTTTTGGAATGTGTTGCAGCTGTCAAAAACAAAATTTGTTTATGTTGGTCAGTGAAAACTTTGGAAATCTTTTCTTTGTAGATTTTGTCAGTTAAATAAAAGTTAAAGAGAATGAACTTCTCTGGAATTGGGGTCGTACTTTATGAACACACACATATATATATATATATATATAAATACACATACATACAGTATATATTTTGAAAATATTTACATGTATATACATTTATATTCTTATATTTTATATTATATGTGACCCTGGAGCACAAAACCAGTCTTAAGTCGCTGGGGTATATTTGTAGCAATAGCCAAAAATACATTGTATGGGTCAAAATTATAGATTTTTCTTTTATGCCAAAAATCATTAGGA